CTCCCGGCCGGGAGATGGGGGGGCCTGGGGAAGGTTTTCCTCGGGCCCGGGCCGAGCCGATCTCTGGCTCGGCTGCAGGTTTTGCTGTAACTACATTCACTAGAAACTGCCCAGTGAAGAAAGAGGGAGGCCCTGGACTTGCAGTGGGCTGGAGCAGCGACTACACGCTCTAGAGCAGCCATGAGGAACTTTCCATCACAGACGGCTCCAGCTCCTGTTCGGCAGAGATCTCCGAACCATCTACAAAAGCCTGGGCAAGATTTTAACTCTTTCATTACCCAGATGAGACTTGCGGATTAATCTTTTTATCCAGAGAGAGAGAGAGAGAGTGATCAACATGAAAAGAGACTTTATAAACTACCAGTGACAGGAAAGAAAAGAAAAGAAGCTTCAGAAAAGGTAGAGAATTAAGAAGATGCTTTAATTAAGCTGAAATATCTCCCTGTTAAAACTATGGAGATGGACAATGAAGTCCTGAAAAGAACTCCTTTAATTCATGATACAGTATCTAGAGAGGAATAAAGTGTTCAAAGTGTAAATTTGAGTAAAAAATAGAGTAATTATGGTACAGTGAAGTGCTGGGAGATTTGAAGCCTTGAGAGGCAATGAGAAAACTGTTTTCTAGTGAAGCTCACAGAAACAGATGAAGACTTTTTTGCCTTTGAATAACTTATCCTTAAAAGCTATCCCTAGACTCATGGCCCATACACACTTCAGAGTGATTTGAAAATGGGAAGAGTGAACTCTAATAATAGCAGCTCTGGGCAGCTAACATTAGGGCAATAGAAAACTATAACAAAAATAGTTTTCTTGTGAGAAACTCCATAAATTAACAGGAAGAAACTTCTGTTTCTCTACAAAGACTGGTGAAAAGACTGTAGCAAGAATTGGGACTGTTTTAACCATCAAAGTTCCAAAGTTTTTGTCTCTGTTGTCATGTGAACAAGGGAATAGTGGGTAGATAGGGGATGAAAAGGTTTTTCTGGAAGTTTATTCTGGTGTTCTTATTATTGTAGTTTGTCAATAAACTTTCTTTTTTTTTCCCTTTTAAGTTGTATGCCTGTTTTGCTCTTGTTCTAATCCATATCTCACAGCAAGAAATAAGTAATTTTCTTAGTTATTGGTTTAAAACCACGACAGAACTCAGCCATTAATTCCTATGTCCAGTCACTTCAGGAAAATACCCTTCAAAGTCACGTGTATGTACACAGGTGCACATTACAAAGGAGAAAAAGGAAACCATTTCTCTGTATCTCCCACACAAAAACTTCATCACCTTCATCATTGAATTGACATATCCTTGAAATATTTACTCTGCCAAGTAAAAGCATACACTGTCTGTAAGAAATCTTATCAATATATAAAAAAGAGTATAACATGTTATATACTTAACTTTGGTTTAGTTAGAAAAATTCTTTCAGTGAATTCATTTGTGACTTAGCCCTCACACAAAGGTGGTGACAGACAGGGCAGCAGAGGAACACAGCATGTGAGTATCATTCTTATTTTTTATAAACTGGTGTAACACATCATTGTAAACAGTAGGAGTTTGTATTTCAGAAATTATTAGGAAATAGCAAAAGAATGAACCCACAGGCCCCTTGCCCAAAGTCATACATGCACCAGTTCTAGAGAGGACTTATTTACCCCTCACAAATTCCAATGGGAGCAATGCCAATTTGTTACCTTTAAGCAGGAGCTCAGCGCTGTACAAGCAGTTTACTCGGCAAGCTCAAAGGACACAAGACACTTGTTCTCTTTAGAAAAAACCTGTACCTATTTGCTGGTCATACAAAGCTGATTGTCTGAGCTCCATTTGTACTGTGACTGGTCACCTGCAGCTGAGCTCACACCCGCACGCGGCCCAGCTGGACCGAAGGTACCCTAGAGGTTCATATGCTCCAAGCTGAAAAACTACTTAAGACAGAATTATTCACAAGGAATAATTCTGATGTGAAGTCAGATTCAACTGTATCATTAATTCTGTCCTAGTCTTACTGCTTTGACTCTGTACCAGCTATTAAAAAGTCAATAGCAATCAACAGTCACGGCCACATAGCAATATACACGCTCGGGTTTTCTTTCTAGGAATCAGCATTGGCATTTTAGTGTGCGACAGATTTAAAAATGCTGATTTTTAAGTAGTATTCATTAGTGACAGCTCTGATGCTTTAATTGCTGACAGGGCAGCTGTAGAGAGAACATCCCAATTAGTTCTTCAAAATACATGAAATCACTCAAAATACTGTTTTTACCATTTCTAGAAAAGACTTGCTTACCCCCCCCCCCTTTTTTCACATGCTAAAGCACAAATTGTCCTCTTACACCTCTTTTAAACATTTTATCTCTTCACCATGTTAAATCACATGCTGTAGGAGCTGCTATTACTCCCTAGGGACCAGATTTTTGTGCAGTTACACAAACTAGTGCTTTCCTATGCAAATAGTCCCACTGGGATGCAGCCAAACCTGCAGCAATGTGCAGCTCAGCCTGGGGCTGTAACACATCTTGTGCTCAGCAGGCTGACCAGGTGGAGAGGGCTTCATCCCTCCTGACTGTACTCTCCCACAATTTAGAAGCTAAGCCAGTGGACAGAGACAGAGACCCCCAGGAGCATGACCCCCCTCATCCACTATCAATGCTCTTTCAGCACAGGTGAGTTTGCCATAATAAGGAGCTGGGTTTGCCTCAGTGACTGTAAGAGGAACCCAGAAATCTATGTAAGTTGGAGGTATTTCACTTTACAGCTGAAATTAGGTGAGGTGAATTCCACCCTGAACCAGCAACAAACAAAAATGAATACAGTAACAGTGCTGTTACTGCTAGTGCTGGTAGAATACCAAGATTTCCCCTAAATATCCTTATGCTCTCCACCCACCCATAGCGGAACATGTTTGTGTAAAATATCCTCTGTGTTGTCACACCACATCAAGTGAAGGAGTTCAGCTGGGAGGGGGTTATGTTGACTATGTATGATTCGAACAGACACAGCTCAGATTTCTACATAAAACACAGATTTCTTCTGGCTTTTCCCAGAAGCCTCTGAAACAATTGCTTAAGCAAAACAACACATTGCAAAAGCCCAGGATTCACTTTAAGATTGCCCACCCTGTGAAACCACAACACAGTGCCTAACAGAGAGTGAAGCTACATCAGGATTTTTTATTATTATTCCTCCATAACAACAAGTGAAAGCACCCTCTAAAACTGCCTTAAACCACAAATGCCACATGAAGCTGGCATGCTTCAAGCCTGTAAATGTGATTTAATTGTGAATGGTAGAGTGAATAATCAGAGCTCAACAGCAAGCCTGATTACACATGAACACTACCCAGACTGCTCAGCACGGCTTCCCCTTCCCCAAGCTCCTTCTGGCACAGAAGGACAACCTACAGAGACAGACACTGCAGTGCCGCCCGCAATCTCTGGTTTTATACAGCTGCTCATCCCTGGTGTGCATCAAAGCAGCTTCCAAGTAAGGGTTAAAACTTCTAATTCCTCTGCAACACAACCACTGGTGTTTTCTAAACCCCATAAGACTGAGGATGACCTGTCTAAAACAAGAAGTTGAAGGTAGCACACTGGACATAGCTGAGCACCAATGAGTCTTTTGTGACACTGCATTCCCAAAGTGGAGAAGATGACAGAAAACAAGAAAATACATCAAAAAATATCTGATACTTCCATAAAATGCTGCATCCTGAAATTTCCCTATGGCTATGAGGTTTTCAAAGGTCCCTGGAGAGGTCAAAAGAAAACATTTACTTATGATTTAGGGAAAATTTGCTACTAAAAAAGCATTCTGGAAATCTGTGCAATGTTCCACTGAAGGAAAGGTCTGCTCTGCAGGAGCAGTGCCTGAGGGGCCGTACTCACTTGGACTTGGCAACAACCAGAAGGTCTGTGAAGAGGAAAAGGTGTCGCTCCTGGGTTTGCAGACTCGTCTTCAGCTGCACGTGGCCGTCCAGGATGAACGTTCGGTTGTGGCATATGAAAGACTGCACAAGGGGCCATGCCTCTGGGCTGATGGGGGACAAGCAGCCTTCCCTGCAAAAATACAGAAAATAAGAGGAATAAAGGAAAGCAAATCAGCTACTTGCCTGTGAGTGAGAACCAGGCAGTGACTTCCCACACCCGCTGCCAAAAAGTAATTTATTTGACCACATTTCATTGAAAGGTGAGAGGCACTTACAGGATAATTCAGCAGTCAGATTCTGACACAAAATCTGTTAGGGACTGTCCTTTCTGAACCTTTACAGCCCAAGCTGTAAAAGCTGTAGCATTTAGCATGAGTGCATTCAGCAAAGTACAACCATATAGACACAGCCCTTCCCATTTTTGCTATTTGTATTTGTTTCCCTTTGTATTGAAGTCTTAGAGAAAATTTTCTGTCTCTTGTATGCTCTCCAAAAAGACAGAGGACACATAGGCATGATAATTGCACATCTACCTTGATCAGAATAGGACTCATGCTCAGGGTTAAAAGCCATTTATAGAAATTATTCAGAAATGATGACAAATAAAAGGTGTTACTGAACCCCACTAGAAACACACCATGTACTAGATGCAACATGAGAAGGCTGCTCAGCCTTTCTATCTCCTAGCACACAACCCACAAACTGAAGTAAGCTCCTTGTGCAGGGTTTGGCTGTGTGGCTGGAGCATAGCTATGCTCATCTGAGGCTGCAGGCCAATCCAAACCCAAGCCTGTGGGGAAATACCAGGCTCTCCCCTAAAAGACACTGATCTTGTCTAAGAAGGTATTGAATAAGTTGCAACCCAAGGTGCAGACATGATTCTCTCAAACTCTCCTGATCTAACTGTTCTACATAAAGCAGCTGAATAGTTATTAAAGCAGAAATAGATTTTCTCTAACATGATGGTCAGGCTTACTCACCCAGACAGGATATCCCTACTTTCTGAGCCTTGCTCTAACAAATGACCATTTTTATGGAGCCAAACCAAATGAATGTGAGGGTCTAAGAGAAGGACATTCCTTCTCTAGGGTTCCCTAGAAGCTTGTAGCAGGTCAGGCTCTCCCTTGGAAAGCCAGAGGGATGGCCTCAAGCTCTCACAAAAAGCTGACAGAACAGAACCTGGGTCTCCTATACCCTTGGTGTACCTTAAATAATGAATTTCTGGATTAAGTCCAGGAACCATCAGTATCTTTACTCATGATCTTAAAATCCAACTTTTCAATTATTTGCTTTCCCATATGATGCCTCCAAATGAACCATTTCCCTCTGGCAAAACAAATCAGTTCAATTTGTATTCAAATGTATTTACTTTTTTTTCCCCTCAAAATATAATTCAACTAATTAAAAAAAATTAAGCTAACACTTATCAGGCAGGATCAGCTTGGCAAGGGCAGGCTGAAGGGAACAGTTTTGCAATTCCAGTTTATTCCTGGTCGCACTGGAATGGATGACAAACACCTAATGACTTTTCATTAGGAGAAGAAATGGAGCTTTATACAGTGAAAGACACAAAACAAACGAGGTGGAGGGAAATGAAAGAAAACAAGAGCAAGTGCAAGAAACCTTCAAAGAAGGTCATAAACCTTGTACCTCTCTTAGAGCCTGGATGACTCATAACTCTCCTCTCCTTGATACTTGTGGCTGGATTATGCAGAAAGTTATTTAGGAAATCCTAACAGCTGGGAGAGAAAGGATAAGCTCTAAGATTGGCCTACATTAGTAGGACACACTTTCACTGATGTATAAGGAGCTGGCAAGGATTTCTGCTTGTTGGGAAGGGTCTCGGATTTGGCCTTGGAGCCTTCAGTTTTTAAAAGAATTCCTCAACTTATTTTGCCTTAAACTGTGTCTTAATCTTGTCTTTCATTACCTAGCCCTTCAGGTAAGAGAGAAAGAAGAGGAATTACTTACAGAATTAATAATTCAAACCTAAGTTATTTGATCATTCCTATGCAGAAGTGGTGTCCAGAGGTGTGGAGGCTAAAGCAGAGGGAGGAGTTTTGGTCCAGCATAACAGGGATACACATTGTGTGCCCAGCAACAGGAGCCAGGGGAACAAGAAGCACCTTTCCTACCCTGCCATTCCCATAGGACTAGAAATTGCCACCTCACCAGTTGATCAATGAGTGAGTATTAGGAAACTGACTCCATTTCATTAACTCCCTAGCAGCACTTGGCACAGAATTCAGGAATGCTGATGAGTCTACCTTGTCAGCTGCATGAAAGTCATGCACGGTCTTTACCTCATAGATTATGCTCACCTGTACTTGAACCCAGTAACAACAACTGTGAGGAAAACCCTTTCCATGTTACACTGCTGTAAGCAATCTTACAGTCATAAGGTCCAGCTTTTGTGTCTCCATATAGGCAATTCTGTTTGATGATTCCTATTTGTACATTTTCTACATGATGATTCATAAGCCCAGGAGCCTCTCAAATTAAACTAAGCAAAACTTTTGCCATGTTGGTACACGAATGAAGGTGTAGTAGATTTAGCAATGCCAGCAGGGTCAAGCAAATTGAACTGTCTTTTTAGCCAGTGCATCTCAAGCACATCTGTCAGCTAAACTTTAATAAGCACTCTTACATATACTAATATTAGAACTTACCTGATAAGCCCTATTAAAAACAAAAAGAAGTGCCAATATTTTCTTCAAAGTGGGGGGGAAAAAAAAAATCAAAGCCATTAATTTTGCCAGAATCTTCAATCTTCTAACGCCCCAGAAACAAGGAACATGGAGGAAATTCACATCAGCAGTGACAAAAATGTCTTTTGGAAAGCAGGCTTTTGATCCTCTCAATTAATGTTCCTTTGTAACATGACATGAATGACACCCAAGTGTTGTTACATTGAAGAAAATGCAAATCAGCAATATCCTCAGGCATAGGGATTTATATGAGAGAGGTATTCTTGCAGTTCAGTTTTTGATGGCTCAATAATTTTTCTGGCCATTAGATGGGTCTAATTTTGAAAAAGTGCTAAGTACATAAATACTGACTCTCTGAAAATTCCTTTCAATAAAATTAGGCAAAACTCAGATCAACATGACTCCTGATATTAATAAAAAATGAAAGTCAGTGATGTAGGGCTCTGCCTTTCCTGTGTTTCCCTAAAAATCACTTTATGATTAGCACATGTAAAAATCCCACACAAATCTTTTCATTTTGGCAGAAAAAAACCCAAAAACCTGTCATCCAGGTTTGTTAAGAAGAAACTATGAACTGATTCTGGAAAGATGGGGTTAGATGAGGATCCTGTAGAGCCAGCAATCAGTCATGTTCCATCTTGTAAGGAAGCAAGGCAGACACAGATGTTTCAATAGCATTGCCATTAGTCTTAAGTGGACTTTTTTTTCTAAAAGTAATATCATGGGGGTCTGAAATTTCCATGTGGAATTTTAACTAAGGAGAAAATTCTGTAATTTGAGGATATCTACAGAGATATTCTTGAGCTCTTCAGGCAAAGACTAAAATCACTGTGCTGGATGAAATTAGTAGAAAGATAATTGAAGATTTCTCTCTGGGCGTTTCCAGAACATAAATTTTTACACCTCTTATTTTTCAAATTAATCAAAATAGTCATTTTGTGCCTGTTCAAAAGACACTATAATTTAAAAGACCACTTCAATTTTGTAGGTGAAACACATGAAGGTGAAATCTACAGCAGTCAGCCAAATACTGAAAAACACATCTTGGCTGCATTCGGTCTGAAAGCAAACATCAGAGCTCACTTCATTGATCCTGTATTTACCAGAAACCACAGAAACACAAAAACACTTCTTCCCCCTGAAGAGCTTCCTTGGGGTTTCCAATAAAGCTGATACCTGAATGGCAATACCCACAAAATGTTTATTCTTGGTGTTAATGGAGACGTCAGCTTCATTCTCTGTTTATAGTGAAAACAATGAAAGAAAATACACTTTTTGAAGGACAGCTTAACAGCCCATGCTAAGTTGTTACTAAACCCATGATCCAAATGTCGTTTATTCCAATAGGAAGCTTTCCCCTGATTTCAGCTGATGATGACTTCAGCCTATCATTGGTTTAGATTAAGCTCTAAGATGCCCCAGGGGAACAACCTGTTCCAAGGTAGCTAAGCTGGAATAAGCTGCTGCAGGTATCTCAGCTATATGACATCCCTCTCACAGACTGCTCATGCTTCATCCTAAACCTCACTCCATTGTTTAGGTTATTGTTCTCTGCCAGAACATTTCTCCACTGATGATCTCTCTGCAGCCACAGAAGTCAATTTCCTCTTACCATGCAGCACCAGTGCTCTCTGCAAGACTGATACCTACTGAAATGCCATTTCTCTTTTTAACCTCTGAAGTTCTTCTCAAGATGTAGGTGGGAAATTCACCTTTTCATCAGCAGAGCAGTGAAATGATAGCTATTCAAAAGGCTGAAACTTGATCCAGCCCAGCCACGTGTGAGGCTGCACTTGGTCTGTCAAACACATATGTAATACCTTTCCAAATCCTCTTACTTGGCCTACACTCATTTAACAAATATGTACTGTAGGTATAAATCCTGCATGCCTCCACTGGTGCTGAAGTTCAAGTAAGGACCAGAGGCTCTTTCCAGTTTTCATACAATCAATCATAGAAACATAGAATATCCTGATGTGGAAGGGACCCATGAGAGTCATTCAATCACAGAGTCAGAGAATAGCCTGGGCTGGAAGTGACCTTAAAAGGTCATCTAGTCCAACACCTCTGCAAAGAGCAGGGACATTAGAGCCCTGACCAACCTGACCTCGAATCCTTCCAGGCATGGGGTATCTTAACATTCCTCAAGGAAAACCATCTTACAGGCCTCCTTTACCTACCGGAAGGCTGCACTAAGGTCTCAAGAGATCTCTTCTCCAGGCTAAACAGTTCAAATTCTGTCAGCCTTTCCTCTTAGGAGAGGTGCTCCATCCTTCCAGTAATCTTCATGGCTTTCCTCTCCCAGCTCCAATAGGTTCATGTTCTTTCTGTGCTGGGGACCCCAGAATTGGACTTAGAACTCCAGGTAGGGTCTCACCACAGTGAAGTAGTGGGGGAGACTCCCCTTCCTCAACCTGCTGCC